CTTTTGTTGTTGCAAAGGAGTGTTGGGGGATTATATTATGTTTGGAGTCTGCTTGGTCTCCCACTTCCTTGTTTTGCAAAATGATGCAAAGTCGTCTGGTTTAAGATGCTCAGTGAGCTGTTTACAAAATGACAGTGTTAATGATAGTCCTTTAACACAAGAAACTAAGTTTGGGAAAGTAGAAATGGTAACCTTCTATTTTTCAGGTTAGGGCTTTGGGCAAGGTTTCATGTGACATGGAGGCCACACATTTTATTTTTATTTTTTCCTTGAGGGCAGTTATTTATGTATATTCATGTCTCTTCTCTCCATCCTCCCCCCCCCCCAATAGTCCTCCTTAACAATGTGCTGTAAAACAAAATGGGGATTTCAGGCACTGCTAGTAATTGTTGTGCAAATATAATACTAGCTCCAAGCTGCTAAATAGGCCAGTGCTCTGTTTACATGAAGAGGCAGCCAGCTTTCCAAGTGTAATGAGTCAGCTCCATGAACAGAAGGGGTGCGGAATTAATCTGGCATCAGTCTGTGTTTTTTTTTTCCCTGAGTGAACCAGGTTTTCTAAGCTCTCTCTGTAAAATAGGTATCTTCTTTGTTTGCAATGCTATGTTGCCATCCAGAGCAGCAGAGCAACTAGGTTTTTCTAAGAAAAATTGACCTGAATTGCATGGACAGTGACTGCTTGTAGGTTCCTTTTGAACTGGAATCCTCCTTTGGATGTGGCTGCCAACGGCTAGGTTGCTGAGAGGATTGTATATCCTGGCTCCCATTCCCCACATGCTGCTTTTTATGTTGCCTTAACTGTGTAGCCAAAAGAGCTTAGGATGCATGCTAATAGCCTGCATAGACTGTATCTAAATTGGCACCAGCTGAGGCAAGGTTATTTGGGGTATTTATTACTTGCTTGGCAGTTTGCACACTCTTGCTTTGTGGTGGTTCATGTGCAGTGGTGCACGTGGTGTAACTCCTTTCCCATAGATATCTCTACCACAAACCTGCCATTTCTTAATTTACTGTGAATCCTAGATTATAACTAAGATTAAGAAGGAATATAAGATTTTGCTGCAGCTTCTTGTTAGTGGAAATTTATGTTAAATCTCCTCCTTTGAATTTGAAGATAACTGGTAACTACAGGTAACTGAACAATTTGGAATGAGTAGAAAAAAAGATAAAGTTCTCCAGAGCCTTAAATTTGTCCTAATGAGGCAGGATCAATCAAGAGAGTAATAGTGTTTTGACATCTCTCTCTCTCTCTCTCTTGACCTTGCAGAACAACTTGCAGGTTTCAGGCACGAGCAAAATGAAATCCCATGGATGCTAGTAGTTCTTCTCTCATTTGGAAACTTCCAGGCTTGTCCCAATCATTTTAAACAGGCTCTATTAATTTTATAGCATGGAAGTCCCAACAGCAATGATGCAAGCTTATCATCCAGACAAGATAACTGCCCCTTGGGGTCCAGTAGGTCAGCCGTCAGCGGTCTGTTCTAGGTATTAGATATTGTTGTGTTTTTTCTTTGGCTGTAGCAGAACTAAACAGTAATGTTGGATTTTACCCAAATCAGTCTCATGAGTTCTTCAGCAATAAGCTCCCTTTTCTTTCTCCATTTATTGTGTCTGGAATCATCAGCTGCCACAGTCTCTACTTCACATTTCTTACTATGGGACTAAAGTATTCCCACTGTCTACATTTTATGTTTTTTTATGATTTCTTAGTCTTTATTCATTCACTTCAATACTCTTCATTGCCACTCTTTTGCTCCAAGTGATTCTTAGCATTTTTGGCAAGTCAGCCCTTTTGCATCTTAGCAGGTCTGTTGCCTTAACTTTAGGTGTGTCAAACTAAAAAAAGAAAAAAATAGTTTTGATGTATTGACAGTGTAAACCAGTCCAATGAACATTGTTGTCTGCCAAGATTAGTTTCGTCAGAATTTTGATGGACTTGTGTTTTTAAAGTTGTTTTTCTATGTGATTGCTGGTTTTTCCCATTCCCTTTTTAACAACAGCTTTGATCTCTTTAGTTTTTGTTAAATAGCTTCCATAAAGACTCACTGCGTTTTCTGTATTATTATTATTATTAATTTATGGCACCACCAGCAAACATGCTTTGCAGAGTGCAAAAGGGCAGATGGTTTGTCCTTTCTACTCTTCCAGGTGAATGCCAAATTGATAATTTAGATGCATGAAAAGAGGTGCTCTTGGTTGTCTGACTTCTTATGTAATCATCATTACACTTTTAGTGATTGGATTACCTGTTTGTTTGTTTAAAATATTTGTATCCTGACTTTCTGCACAGCAGCAGCCTTCAGGGCAGCTATTGATTAAGTTAGTACATGTGGAAAGAAGAAATATTTCATAGATCATGGCTTGTTTTAGTTCTGCATAATAGTTATTTCAGCTTTTGCTTTTGCAAGGTAGTTTTTAATTTGTATTATGAAAAAAGAAAAAATGTTACAGGTGGCTAGGAGAAATGGGGCATACTCAACATTTAAATGCTTAAAAACAATTCAGGGTTAGAATCTACTTTCCAGGTCACGAGTTGCTCACCCAAGCTAAGTTAAATCTCCACCGCTTCTATGAAAGTGTCAACATTTTTTGTGAGTATTTGGTAATGTAGAAGAAACCTAGTATGGCCGTTTGTAAGGGTGTCCAGTTCTTTGAATGATTCAAAGTGAGAAAGATGGCTTTGGGATTGCTCTATTCTTCTCTTGCACCATCAACACAGCTCTGTGTCCAGTATCTGGTACTTTGTTCCAGTCGGACTCTTAGGCTAGCATTGTATATGACGATAGCCTTTTGAATTGGTGAATTGTCATGCTCCAGGCCCAGGAGAAAAAAGCAAAGCGTGCTGCTTATATACCGCCCCATGGCACTTCAAGCACACTCTGGCCAATTTACAAGTTAATTATGCAGGCTACACATTCCCCCCCCCCCCCAGCGAGCTGGGTACTCATTTTACCGACCTCAGAAGGATAGAAGGTGGAGTCAATCTTGCGCTGGCTACCTGGGATTGAACCTCAGGTCGTGAGCACAGTTTTAGCTGTAGTATAGCAGTGTTCCGTGTCTAAATCACACTGGCCATGTGACCACGGAAAGATTGTCTTTGGACAAACGCTGGCTCTATGGCTTGAAGAGCGGGATGAGCGCCGGCCCCTAGAGTCGGACACGACTGGACAAAAAAAAAATTATCCAGGGGAACCTTTACCTTTACCTATAGCAGTTTAACCACTGCGCCACGAGGTTAAAAATAACTTCTAAATGTGTAACAAGCAGGCCCACCCAACCTGTAGGGTGGACTGAAAATCAAAACACTTTCTGTGGGACTCCATCATGGCAAATTGAGGACTTCTAGTGAAAAATGTGGAGCAGGAAGCCATTGAAACCTCTATCCCATTCGTGAGTCATGCAGTGCAAAAGCCAATGCTTGCCATCTAGTTTACAGTAAGATTTTAACCCCACCCTCCCCGGCGAGGCCATAACATTTATGCAAATAATTGAGAGACTGAGAGTGGAACCTTTCTGGGTTTTTTTACTTTTTCTGTTCTTTTCTTCATTTTTTCTGCCCTTTGTCCTGCCCACACCTAATCAGTTGGGGAATCAGGGGCCTCTCTGTTCTGAACAGTTTTATCCATTGCTTGCTGGTTTCAGATCTCTTTCTCTATGGCAGACAGCATAAAGTACCTGAAGACGTGGACTTGTCCACAAAAGCTCACATTTAAATATAACTGTTAGTCTTTAAGGTGCCACAACATTTTTGTCGTCTTTTTTGTTTGTTTGTTTGTTTGTTTGACAGAGTAAGGTGGTTGCATGCATTCTATGGGCCTTAAAGGCAGTAGTTACAAACTTCAGTAGGTGGTAGCTTGCTCACTAAAAAGAATAAAGATATGACTGCATACCAAGTTGCATATCTGTTCCAGTGCAGACTTCTGCTGCTGCTGCTGCTGTTGTTGCTACTGCCGTGTATTGCAGATGGCAGTTTCTTTTCAGCCCTGTAACCAGGCAACTCATAGCAAGGGCAACAGTGCTTTGTTGCTGTGCTCCTGAATTGTGCCTCACCTAAATCCATGTACAAAGGCATTACTGTGTTAAAGGGGAAGAACACTTTACAAACTATGGTGAGAACATCAAATGTCACCTTCACAGTTTTTAATTTCTACTTATTTCTAGAAATATTCCTTTACCAGAGTGTATTTCTCAGGCACAAATCCCAATATGTGGCTCAGTTTCATTGCATGAACCCTATGCATAGACTCCAGTGATTACCAAAGGTACCCATGTGGTTGCAAGTACAGACGAACAAAGAACCTGTCTGAACAAGCAGGGTAATTCAAGGGATATTTAATAATTTGTTCTTGGGAGTCACTGACTACAAGAAGATGCTCTTCTGCAGATGGTGTTTGGGGAGGTGATCTGCCTTCTGTTATGCACAAAGGGAACCTATGTCAGTTCTTGACTCTTTTGCAAGTGCATCTAGAGCCAAGGCCCTTTTTCCTCTCAGCTTTGGGAAGCTGCACATCCATTTTGCCATGAAAGCAGAGTGCCAGGGTTGCCAGTCCAGGACCTCTGTTTGATGAAACAGCAATTACTCTTGTGGGACACGGTGGCACTGCAGGTTGAACCACATAGCCTCTGGTCTGCAAGGTCGAAAGATCAGCAGTTTGATGAATCCACGCAGCGGAGTAAGCTTCCATCGCTTGTCCCAGCTCCTGCCAACCTAGCAGTTCGAAAGCATGTAAAAATGTGTGTAGATAAATAGGTACCACCTCAGTAGGAAGGTGACGGCGTTCCATGTCTAATCACGCTGGCCTTGTGACCACGGAAACTGTCTACGGACAAACGCTGGCTCTACGGCTTGGAAACGGAGATGAGCACCGCGCCCTAGAGTTGGACATGACTGGACATTTGTCAAGGGGAACCTTTACCTTACCTAATTACTCTTGCATTTTTCCCCTTCTATTTTTGTAAAGTCCTAATTAAACATCTCTTTGTTTCTTTTCTTACTACAGACTGTTGATGATGAAGCAATGGCAGCATAAATGAAGGCCAAGTAAGGAAGGCAGAACGATGCCCAAGGGTGGGTGTTCTAAAACACCACAATCGGAAGATTTCTCTCTCAGCAACGACATGGTGGAGAAACAAACTGGGAAAAAGGTACCGTGACTTTCTCATACGCACCTTCTTATTTCACTCATTATTTCTCTTTTGTAACAAGACGGTAGCTCAACATCTCTGTTTTCTTAGTCTGGAATATTTGTTGGACTAGGCAATTCTGCCCCAGAATCATGAATGGGTAAACAATATGTTTCCTTCACAACAGTTCTTATGCTTTGTTCTGTTTTTTATTCTTAAAAAAGTTCTTTGGCAAGGCACTCGGCACTGTTCTCACTGTTTCTGTTCTGTAGTCATAGTGAGCAAGGCTGAGATTGAAGAGAAATACAATGAGATGTTCTTCTCTATCTCACTCCTCCTTTTGAACAGAAGAGTAGATTTGTTTGTACAGAGAGAAGTTCTGTAAGCCAGAAATTATATAAAATTATAAAGGGAAGTGCTTAGCTTGGTGTGGAACACTTTGCATCAGTGATGAGGGGGCATGTTCTTCTGCAGATGCTGTTGGACTGCAGCTCACAGATCCCTCACCTTTGGCTCTGCTGGCTAGAGCTGACAGGAGTTGCAACCAAGCCCCCACCAGGAGGGCCATGTGTTCCCCATCCCAGAAAGAGCATGTTTCTGTTTGGCTGTATGCTTTGATGTCTTGTCCTGTTTCTTTTATTGTATTGTGTGGGATGTTTTTGTTGTTAGCCACCTTGAGTTTTTCAAATGGTAAAATAAGATGCGAGTTCTTCTAAGAGAACTGAATGAAGGGTGGAAAGAGCAACCTATGTCAGCCTTTGTTTGGTTTTCCCACTAGCAGATGTTTCATATGCAGCTGTATAGGACTCTGCAGTGTGAAGTATAAAGTGTTGTTTGTGTGGATGCTTTACATGCAGCATCTTCCCTATATGTTTATTTGTATGCCACCTTTCTCTCCATTGTAAGATAATTGAAAAATCATTCAATAACAGCAGTTAAAACTGCTGTACCTCTCTCTCTCTCTCTACACACACACACACACAGAGAGAGAGAGAGAGAGAGAGATCTTCATATACAGTGGTGCCTCGCATTACAATGTTAATTCATTCCAGCGAAATCCCTGTAGAACGAAAACATCGTAAAGCGATTTTAAAAAGCCCATAGAAACGCATT